AACCTGACAGCGGCGGCCTGCAACCTGCTAGCGATGGCCTCCAACCTAATAGCGATGGCCTCCAACGTAGAAATGATGGCGTGTGATGAGTGGCACTGCAGCATACATTTCCCAGTCCACTAGCAGCCTACAATTTGCCGTCCTTGATGGTCCTTCCTCTTTTTTTGTCCCTCTCAACGATGGTCAGGAGTGTGTGGCCGACACACACGCACACACACGTCAGAATGCAAAAGAAATCATTGTACAGAAAAAGACATAGAAGCAGGAACATAATAAAAAACAGTAGTACAAAGAAGAAGAATAAGAATAAGAAGAAGAAGGAGAAGGAGAAGGAGAAGGAGAAGGAAAAGAATAACAAACATGATAATAAGAAGAACATAAACAGAAGAAACATAACCATAATAAGAAAATAAAAAGACATGCAACAACTCATCGCAGCAACAGATCAACAAACAATCGCAGCACACAAGAGTGGAGGCCATCGCTAGTAGGTTGGAGGCCATCGCTATTAGGTTAACAGCCTGTGAAGAGAAGAAGGGTTGTCAACGTTGTTTCAAATCTCACCGTGACGAGTAGGTATGTCCTGCCACCACAGTTCAAGGAGTGTGTTCGTTGAGTGGTCAAACATAGGCAGTATAATTCTTATTCTATGCATGTCTACGGAGAAATGTATACATCCTGGGAAACCTATATAGTTGGGGTTGGTTCAAACCTGAGGTGCTGGAAGGTCCAAAAGAATTTAGGCCTGAACCGGTGGAAAGAATGAAGGCGCGGGCAGAAACTTGTTGGTTCCAGATAACTCCATCTTGGAAGCTTTGCTAGTAGGTTGGAGTGCACGTGCTATTAGGTTAACAGCACGTGAGAAGTATGGAGAACTTTTCTTTGACAGTTGGAGTGCTGGATGCAAACTCACCCAGTCTCAGAGTCGCATTTGACACGCGTTTTGAGTCATTTCTTAGTTCTGCAATGTTTTGCCAAATTTGCTGCTTGTACTCCATCACTATTCTTTAATCAATCTATTTTTTTAAAATGAGTTTGAAGAATTTCACGAACATCTCCCAGCGCCAAGGTTTGGGTTTCCCAGTTTCGGATTGAACGTCTGTTGCAACAGGGCCGTGCTTTGGCAGATGGTGCTGTTGGCTGGGTCACAGCTACAACCAAAAGGCCTTCTTCTTGCGAGACTTGGACATTTCCTTGCATTCGAACGTGAGTGCTTTTCAATACTAGGAGCAAGGACGCTACTAGGGGCTCCTGGTCATACTACTAGTAACAAGAAGCTACTAGGAACAAAGGGCATCGCTACTAGGAGCAAGGACGCTACTAAGCACATTACAACGAGTTTCATATGTCGACTCGTTTTAGCCTCCGCAGCTTTTGGCGACAGGCTAAAGCGCTGGTATCCCAACTACATTTGCAAGCAGAACACTGCTGCGCCCTGAGAGAAGCTAGTAGGTTGGAGGCCATCGCTATTAGTTTGGAGGCCATGGCTATTAGTTTGGAGGCCGTCGCTAGTAGGTTGGCATCGCCATTAGGTTCCTGTTGCTTCTTTTAACATGGAAATCACCTCTTCCTTTCATTGCACTTTTTCACTTTTGTTTTAAAACCACACTTTCTTAGAGTTTGAGTTGTTTTGCTTGTCTTCCAGGTCCTGCAAACCACTGTATCGATTGGCCCAACGGCCGGTTTGGTGCGTCGAGTGGAAGAGGGTGAGCTGCTGGAGGTGTTGGATGGTCCGAAAGAGGAGCTGGGCCCAAAGGGATTCAATAGCAATGGGGGCCTTCAACCCGCCTTCATAGTTAAGTGGCATGTTGAGACTCATAGCGACGGCCTCCAACCTGTCATGTTCAGCGCGACTTGAAGTGGGGACCGCGTGGACCGTATTTCTTGGGACTCAGAGGCTGTGTGTGAATGGTTTTTCGCACGGTTTGGTGACCAACATAGCCATGAAGGCGTACGAAGTTGTCAGGACTCAGAAGCTGGAGTTCTCAGAGTAAAAGTCAAAACTCGCAAAGATCAGGCCGTAGGTGCGCTTCTTTGACTCTCGACTTTTTCATTCTGATTCACTCCTTGAAATGACTGGAATCAGCCAAAATGACCTTTACTGAGGTTGGATCACCTTGAAAGGAAATCAAGGAACACTCTTCCTCATACAGTCAAGGGCCATAGTCTTCTCTTGGTTTATGACGTGGAAAGTAAGTAGCTGATTTGTTGTGTGACGAGTCTGAAATCGATCCTTAGGTGGAGCAGAAGAGACGAAGAACAACTTAAGCACGGAGTCCCACCGTATGTCCGCATATGCACAGTGCATGGAAGCAGGGATGTCCAGACAAATCACAGCGATTCCCAGGCAGAAACAGAAATCACTCCAAGAAGGCTCGCAAGCACTCCCGTTGTGCTTTGTTGACACTCAAGATCGTCTTGACAGATACTTAGTCACGAAAGCTAGCTGTAGCTAGCTGGAGTCTGTCTTGCTTTAGCAAGGGAGGGTGGGAACCCAGGACCTGAGTGCTAACTGGGGTGGTTGTGTGTTGCCTGTGTTGGGGTTGTATTGGGGGCGTTGTTGGCACTCTCCTCCTTTGCCCTCAGCCATAACATGTTGCGATTCCCGGCCAGGGCTCTGCTGCCAAAAGAGCCCCAGTGCTGCTTTAGGTTAAGGCCACTAGCGATGGCACCTACTAGCGATGGCCTCCAACCTACTAGCGATAGAACGGGCTGATTCATTGACAGGCTCCTGCGAAAAGAGGCCTCATTGACCAGGAACTATTACATTCCTTCTTTCCAAAGGGAAGAGCCAGTGGCGATGCGGACGACACAACGCTCGGCGTACAGGACTTGGTGCGGCCAAGGAAAAGGAGTGATACTCCATGGTGTGAAACAGGCGCCACGTTTCGTTCAGGTCCGTGACACGTTACTAGAAGCGATGCACTTGTTTCTACTAGCTTTATTGTTACTACTAGTAAGGCACTTGTTACTAGTAGCGTGGCACTTGTTTCTACTAGCTTTCTTGTTACTACTAGTAAGGCACCTGTTACTACTAGTAAGGCACTTGTTTCTACTAGAATTTTGCCGCTTTGCCCAACTTCTTGGTGGTGAAGGAGGGTTGGGCGCAAGTGATGCTAGGCCAGTGGCGTTGAGCTTCAATGACGGGTCTTGAGGTCAGACCCTCAATCTGTTAAGTTCTTTGGTGTTCCTTTGTTCCTTTCTTTCTTTCTTTCTTTCTTTTCTTCTGTAGGCCTTTCTTCCTTAGACTTTTCTTCCTTTCTTCCTTTTTCAATTGTTTTTATCAAAACCTTTCCTCCGTTTTTAAAGAGATATTTTATTCTTTTGACTTCGGCGTTTCTTCTTTTCCCCTTTTACGTGTATTCTGTTTCTGTAGAACTTTCTTCTTTTTCCTTTCTTTCTGTAGACCTTTCTTTTTTGTGCTTCTTTCTTACGCTTTCTTCCTTTTAGTATGTCTTTCTTCATTCTTCTCTCTTTATTTTTTCCTTTAGGCGTTTCTTCTTCTTTTGCTTTAGACCTTTCTTGTTTTTTCTCTTTTCTTTCGTTAGACTTTTCTTCCTTTACTTTTTTTTTTTTTTTTATACCTTTTTTCCATGTTTTTTTTTTTTTTTTTTTTTTTTCCTTTTTCACTCTCTTTTTGACGTTTCTTCTTTAGACCTTTTCTCATTTTTCTTTTTGTAGACCTTTCTTCCTTTTCTCTGTTTCTTTAGACGTGTCTTCTTTCTTTCTGCCTGTCTTTCTTTCTGCCTTTTTCAATTTCCCCACTTTTGCTTTAGATATCTCTATCTCTTTTTCTTTCGACCTTGCTTCCTCCTTTTGATGTTTCTTCCTTTTTTCTTTAGACCTTTCTTTTATCCTTTTCTTTATTTTTTCTTTAGACTTTTCGCCTTTCGTCCCAACTGTCGTTTTTTTCTTTAGACCTGTCTTTTTTCTTTAGATATTTCTTCCATTTTCTTTATTTTGTTACCTTTTTCCTTGCAAGGTGACACCCTCGATCTGACAAGTGTCACAGATGAAAAGAGGTTTCACGTCCGGACTTCTGTTTTGCACTCCAAAACACCAATCCTGAAGCGTCCTGAAAGCCGTTTCCAGAGATGTTTTCTTGTTGGGGTCTACATCCGAGTGCTCCTGGGGAGTGGGAGTACATCCGACCGAGCATCGCCACTCCGCAGGGATGTCTCGGTCGGATCAAAGAAGGTGACATAGCTCCGCGGCTCCGTGACGTGTCTCTAGTGGAGGAGGAGCCCAAAGAGCGTGATTTCTGAGTAAGGAAGATCCGACACCGAAGAAGTCTGTACTATCTGAGACAGTGATAGACTTGATAGACCATCATTGGGCCAAGATGAACATCCGATCGAACTACCAGCACTGGTGAACGACATCCTGGTGTTGACCATGCTTCACCAATAGCGCGACCGGTTTGATCCCGGTTTTCGGTGGGAAAATCCGTGTTCTCTCCGTTCCGGCCGTCCTTTTCCTCCGCCTTCCGGATGGCACTGACTCTTCTCTCGCCTTTTCCAGCGTCGCGCCAAGGTGCCGAGAGAAGACGCGTTTGTGACGCCGGGGTTAACACTGGCCGGATCTTGGGACGAAGTTTCTCTGGCCTCCAAAAAAAGAGAGAGGACTTGGGGAGCCTGTCACGTCACACCATGCTGTGTGCAGTTTTGGAGGATCCGTCCAGTGGCGACCCGACCATACCCGCCATGTCGAGACGTCTGTCGTTTATGCGGAAAGAACGCTGGAACGTGGCCGGTCGCGTGTCGGGTCTCGGGTCGGGTGCCTGGGGCTGAGACCTTGTTTTGTGAGGCACATGCCATTCTCCAAACTAGGCCATCTCAATTCACCCGTAGTGAAACACCGAGTCGCATGCCCTCAAGTCCTTGGAGTCCAACGCCATCCCGCAACCACACAGCATCGGTTTGAAGCAAGAAGTGCTGTGGATGATGTGCATCTCTGCGAAAGCTGCAGGCTCAAAGAAGCTATCGAGGCTGTAATGTATCCAACCACCAGCGGTGCAGGCTTTAAGGCTTTAAGGCTTTACTTATGACGACAAGCCAAGAACATACCACCAACACCCCAGTGGTAGTGACTGGCTTGGCCTTCCAGGTGGACAACCTTTCTTTCATGGCTCTAAAGGCCTCAAACAGAAAGACAAAAAGAGGAAAGAAAGAAGAGAAAAGGTAAAAAGAAACAACATTGCATTCTTGGTACGTTTTTGGTTGAGAGGTTGCTTACTGTAGAACACACCCTACATAAGCCCTACATCCCAGGTCCGTTCCTCTCCGAGGCGTCCGATCTGCGCGTTCTGCCGCCATGGGCACCGTCGAGCTCGACTCGGATGACGATGTCCAAGCGCCTTTGCTCCGAACGAAGCTTTATTGTTACTACTAGTAAGGCACTTGTTACTAGAAGCGATGCACTTGTTCCTAGTAGCGAACATTGCTCCTAGTAGTAAGGCCAAGAGCCCCTAGTAGCGTCCTTGCTCCGTTCGTAGCGATGCCCTTTGCTCCGAACGTAGCTTCTTTGTGCCTAGGTCCAAGCGCTGCCGACTCCCGCGGCAAGAACGACTCCGCCTCCCACGGCGGAGGCTCGATCGATGTCCGGAGCACGCGCTGAACGCAGACAGAGAAAGAGCCTGGAAGGAAGTGAAGAACTAGGAGCAATGTTCGCTACTAGGAACAAGTGCATCGCTTCTAGTAACAAGTGCCTTACTAGTAGTAACAATAAAGCTACATTCGGAACAAAGGGCATCGCTACGAACGGAGCAAGGATGCTACTAGGGTCTCCCGGCCTTACTACTAGGAGCAAGGACGCTACTATTGGAAGTAAGAATCAGTTTTTGTTTCAGTTGAGTCTCAGTTGAGTCCTTTGCTCAGGGCGGCTCCACATCGAGCCGAAAGCGCAAGGAGCGAGTGGAGGCCAAGCCGGCAGCGGCCTTGCCCTACGGTTGGATACGAAAGCAATCGAAGTCCAAAAAGGGAGCCTATTACTATGCCAATATTCTCACAGGCAGGGCAAGAAACTACCAGTAACAAGTGCATCGCTACCAGTAACAAGTGCATTACTACGATGCCCTTGTCTCAGAGGTAGGGCCGGCCCCGGACGGGCCGCCGCATGTCCAAGCACTCACTTGTCGGTTTGACTTTCTGTCTGATACATGTGTTGCTCTCTTTCTTTGTTCCTAGTAGCGATGACACTTCTTGTTGCTCTCTTTCTTTTTGGCGTGTCACTCTTGGCAAGGCAAAACCCAGGTACAAAGGCCTGGGCCAAGAAGCAAAGAGACTCGTGTGGGCGCAGGCGCCGAAGGCCGGGGAGATCGAAGAGATCCGCCGGCGGATTCGACGGGTGGACGACTGGAGGACGACTGGGCAAATGCTGTGAGTGGGCGCTATTAGGTTGGACCCCCATCGCTATTAGGTTCATTTGCTACATTCGGAGCATTTCGGGCATCGCTACGAACGGAGCGATCGGACGTTACGTTCGGGGCTCCTGGCCTTACTACGAACGGAGCAAAAGCTGTTAGGTTGGAGCTTCTGGCAGTCTACTTTTGCTTCGCCAAATCCAGAGAAGTGACATGAGGTAACAGGTGCTGTCTGTCGCCAATGCGATGCTGTGGCAAGAGAGCGTGCCCATTGGATGGAGACTTGCCAAGTTGTTGGACAACTCTTGCATCAACCAAAGGTCATGACAGCAAGCTTGCGGCAGCTTGCGCTTGTTGGTGTTTGCTTTTGAGCAAGGAGCTCTTGGGGCACCTTTTGGTGCAACACTTGAAACTGTGATACTTGTGAGATCGAGTTTGGACACTGCAAGCCTGGCGCAAGCTGCGACTTGCTTCCCCTCGTGGGTGGCCCGCAGCGATCTTGTGGCCTCCACTTTGCTGTGAGTCCGTTGGCTGGTTTGGAACAAGGTCCGGAGGCTGCTGCGAACGTGATCCTGCTCCATGTTTGTTGCATCCCACCAATTGCCTAAACCAATTGCATCAGCAGCCCTGTTGCCCTGATGCCAACTGCGGTGTCCAAGGCTGCGGTCGCCTGCGCGAGCGACAGTGGACGAGTCGACTCGCCGACGACGAGTCGAGTCGCGTGCACGGACCCAGACTTGTCTGACTTGAATTGTGGTACATGTATGTCGGAGCATATGTACATGTGTCTGCATTTTTGCTCCGATTTGGTTCAGTTTAAGAACAGACATTAAAACAAGAAGGGTTCACCTTGCAGTTTTGCCACGTGATGTTTAAACCCAAGAAAGTCGCTCATTGTCTCCAATTCGCAAGCCGTTTGGGCCCCGTGCAAGAAACTTTGCCGCCTGTCACCTCCTTCGTCGTTGCTCGCGAGCATTTTTTTCAGGAACGAAAGAAGTGAAGAAGATGGCTCCTGAAGAAGTGCGGCAAAGGCCACGACTTGGTGGAGAGCGCCAGCAAGGGGAGGCTTCCTTATGTGGTAACGTTGAGTTCCCATGGGAGGCAAGCTGAGTTTGAAGCAGCTGAAGCAGAATTGGAAGCAGCAAAGCGCCAGGCAGCAACCTGATTGTTCGATGCTGGCAAGTCTTTTGTAATTGAGACGCTACTAGTAACAAGTGCATCCCTACTAGAAACAAGTGCATTACTACTAATAGCAAATAGCTACTAGTAGCTTCTAGCTACTAGTAGTAATGCACTTGTTGCTAGTAGCGATGCACTTGTTACTAGTAGTAACCGTTTGCATTTTTGAATTTTGTCCGAGGCTGCTGAAAGGCGTGCTGCTCAGAAGGCGGATGGAACCCGGTTGAGTACATAGACAGTTTTGTTTGGCCAACAAATTGCGAAGACCATCCACTTGAGTCTGAGGCTGCCAGCAGATTAGTTGACTTGTTACGACTCCCAACTTGAGCCGAGTGTTAGGCAGTTGTTGAAGCAGAGCCGGTTGAGCATTCGGAGGAGGCTGAAACCGTGTCGAACTCGTTTTCCTTTGTTGCACCATCTTTTGCTGAGGAGCCGGGCTCACAGGAAGAAGAGATAACGGGAGAGGAGTGATTTCTTGTCTCCAACCTAATAGCAACCATTTTGTTTGCCAGCAAAACTCAGATGTTTAAGCCAGCTGGATTCGAAGCTTCGATTGGAGGACCTAGCCAAGTGGAAAGCACAGGAGGAGCAGCGTGAGAAGAGGGAGGCCCTTGTAATTGGCACGATAAGAGAGAGAGAGAGAGAGAGAGCGGCTTTGATCTATGGGATCCGCTACTAGTAACAAGTGCATCGCTACTCGTAACAAGTGCCTTACTAGTAGTAACAAAATGCTTTTAGAATTAAGGTAAAATTACATTAAATTAACTAGCTTCTTGTTACTACTAGTAAGGCACTTGTTACTACTAGCTTCTTGTTCCTATGGAACGCCGTGGACAGATAGTCAGGTTCAGCTCAAGACCATGCCGAATGCCAGTGATTTGCCACCAGTGCCGCCAGTCTTGGAGCCATGTTTGGATATCTTGAAGGCGTGTTCAGGGTTCACTCAGAAGATACTGATACTGGTAACAAAGGGCATCGCTACTAGTAGCAAAGACGCTACTAGTAGCTCCTGGCCTTACTACTAGTAACAAGAAGCTATTAGTAGCAAGGACGCTAGTAGGTTGGAGGCCATCGGTAGGTTCATCCTTCTGAAATCCTTTACATGCCAGGAGCCCCTAATAGCGTCCTTGCTCCTAGTAGCGATGCCAGGAGCCCCGAACGTAGCGTCCAAGCCATTTGTTCAGGACGACAAATGGGTGGAACGGCATTCTCTGTCCGCCGGCCAGCAACGCTGGACACTGGGCAGAGCTGTTGGAGAGGTGGACTTCGTGATGAATCACCCGAGCATTTCCAGGCCGTTTCGTGGACATGTCTGGACAGCCTGACGGGCCAGACCTGATTTTGGACGCCTCAGTTCTTTTGGGTTGATCGGTTTATCCACTTTGTGCAGGCAACATGCTGCACTATCTAGAGGAAGTGCAGGCATTTACCTGATGGATCTGAATTCAGGACATGGTATATTTCTAGATGGACAGAGGATCGAAAAGAATCTTCGCGTGCTTCTGAAACATGGAGCAGCCATCCGATTTGGAAATTCCACAAGGCTCTACTACTTCCATGAGCCACTCTGAAATCGTCCCAAGAGGACAATTCCGAGGCTCAAAGAAGGCCGAGGCTTCAGCGCAACAGAAAAGGCCGAGGCTGCAGCTTCAGCTTCGTAGATTTCACCGTGTATACCCTGTATACCTTGTTGGAACCTGATATGCATGTGGAATGCAGCTTTTGGGTTACCCATGTGAACTGTGAAGGGACCATTGACCATTGGGATTCTGAACAGCTTCGAAGCAAAGCCTCTTGAACATTGACCAGACTCTGTGACTGTGTGACCTGCTTGAAGCCTTGGCTTTGTTGCCTCTCTTGGGCTCTTCTCTTTGTATCCGGCTTTTTCCCTTTTGCTTTTCGGGCTCAAGTGTTCTAAGTTGCAGGATTCCGTAAGCGCAAGCGCACGCGCGTGTGTTACGCACGTGCGGCCATGCTGCGATGGGCAGCATTGGCGGCAGTGCTCGCAGCCGCCGTTTGTGCAGACGAAAGCTTTGACCATGCTGTCTCTGTAGATGCTGATGGACGTACGAATGAGTACTCACATCATTTGGAATCAGAGCCTTTGAGTCTGAGTGAAATCACTCCACATTGGTCCTTGGATGATGCAGCTCTCCTTCCACAACAACATGTGACGAACAGCCAGCCGAGCCAATCGGAGGAGGATGAATCAGCTGATGATGAATCAACTGATGATGATGGTGATGATGAGGAGAGCTCAGAGGAAGCGGTTGGGACCGAAAAAGGGAACTTCTCCTTTTCGTACCGTCAACACGTGACAGGCTCCACACCCACCGGACCGTTAGGAATCGGCACGCCATCGGTGGGTTTGAACATGATCTTGGATACGGGGAGCGACAAGTTCGTGGCAAAGACCTGGTCAACCATCAAGGCAGAGCTGGATAAGATCGATGCCGGTGCTTCAGAGGAGGTCTTCCCGGGAAACAAGATTTACAACCACAACTCGTCCAAGTCCTATATGCAACTCTTTGCTTCTCAACATGGAAGGAAAGTCCCACGTCAGGGATTCATTGCATATGGAAGTGGCATGGCCATCACCTTGGAAGGCAAAGAGACCATTCGTGTTGGAACTGATGAGAGGTTTATAAGCATGCACAAGTTTCCCATCTCCGAGATTAGCCTGGACTCCCTTCAGATTTTGCATTCTTCGAAAGGAATCTCAGGTATCCTTGGACTTCAGCATATGATGAAACTTAGCTTATATAGAGATGCGGTTTTGAGAAAGGGTTTTGAGCGGTTGAACGAGCCATTCTCACATGCGTGTTTTCTTCGCTTCTGAGCCTTGCCAGTCCAGGAATCGATCATTGGGCCAGTCCTTCTATTCCGTTCTCAGGGACAAAGGGATCTTGAATTCTTTTGGCTACTGCCGTGGCAAAGACAATGATGGCCCAGAGCTTGGAGGGGGGAGGGCAAGAAACGAGCCTGACTGTCGAGCAGCGTCCCAGGGCCCATTTGCAAAGCTGGAATCGGATCACTCAGGTACCTTCATTTGGGGGGGACAAGTGGGGATGCCAAGAGCGTGCTCTCAGTCTTGCGAGACCTCCAAGCATTTTGCAAGAACACGTGCAAAGGTGTTTGCTCTGGTGTTCTGTAAAAGATGACCTTTGTTTAGACGAGCACCAAGAACGAAAGAGAGGAACGAAAAAGGTCCAACATTTTTTTTAATCAATTATGATTTGCTTGTTTGTTTGCTTTCCTTGTCTTGTTATTGTTTCTTTGTTTGTTCCTAGTTCCTTCTTCTATCGGTCTTTAGCGGTCAAGACCCAAAGAGAAAAGCGTCGATCGCTTTTGCGCCGCCCGGCCCAGATCCTCTGATGGCAAAGCTGTGGATGTGGCTGGGCAAATGCATTGGGCAGTGACAGTGAAGAACATGCACGTGAAGAAGCACAAGCACCTTAGCAACCTTAGCACAGCCAGCTTGCTAAGTGCCCATTCCGACAAAACCAAGCATGCTACTTAGCTCTCTAAGTTTAGCTTGGACTTCACAGCCGGCAGTATCGTAACTAAGATTCTTTCCTCTACATCTTTCCATACGACAGATTGTCATTTTCCCTAATCATGGGGAGCTCTTATTGCACGCACAGTTCCATGTATGTTCCGTGTGAGAGGCTCTCAATATGTTGACTCAGAAGCATTTGACCACCCTTACCAAATGGAGCATCATTTGAAATCATTCCTTTCCGCTTTTTGAATGAAAAGAAGGCATCATGCCACCTCCTTTATGGAGCGCTTTGATGCGCGGAGCAGCGACGAGGAGGATGCGGCAGCTCGGTCGTGGGTCATGGCGCGTTTCGGCCGAGGGAGATGCACGGTTCACTCGGAGAACGCTTTTGGACGACATCCGTCGACGCGTGTTTTCAACATGTTCTCGTCTGTGCTTTAAAAGAAGAAAGACTCTAGCAAATTTTTCTCTTGCAAATCCCAATCTTTCTGCCATTCTGTCGCATTCTGTCAGACTAAGGATGTATTCTTAGAACAAGAGGCGAGTGGGATCGACAGTTGTTTGTTCATCGTGTGCGAGTGTTTGGGAACGCACTTGGGCTTTCTGGATCGCAACTTGGTCGTTTCACCACAGACTGTGTCTTGGTGTCACCATCATCCGCAGAACCACTCGCACTCCAAGTTCCATAAGTTCCACATCTGTCGGAAAAGCCAATGCGTGGCCGTGATCGACACTGGATCCAATATCATTGCAATGCCATCCGAAGCTGTGAGGAGAACTACTGATGAGTTTCTGCAATATTTCGCAATCACATGTGACATGATTGTGTGCTTGTCTTGTCTCAATGTCTGTACAAGTCTCTTTGTTCTCCAGGACTCTAACGAAGATCTTGGATGTTGCCACTGATTGCTCCAACATGGAGCACCTGCCGAATCTTCACTTCGTGTCAGGGCCTGAAGCAAGTGTGTCAAACATGGCAATGAACATAATGAAGCTACGTTCTGGTCTCCTGGCATCGCTACTAGGAGCGATCGGACGCTACTAGGGGTCTCCTATGAACAAAACTGCCAATCTCAAGCATTCCCTGCTTCTTCACCAAGGCTCGGAGACGACATGCACGTCTCTTTGCCACCAAGTGCCTACATCATGAAGGTTCAAATGCCAAGGCTGAAAGAGGATCCCAACTCCCAAGCGGAGGATTCGGAGATGAGAAGCGCCACCTCCGAGAATGCGGATGCCAACCTCGAGGAGGACGATGACGATGAAGCGAGTGACGATGCCAAGGCTGTGGGATCCACACGCTTCCGGATGGCTCGACGTCATGAAGCGGCTGAACTCACAGAAGAAGAAGCAAGGGAAGCACAAGAAGCTCAAACTCAGCGCTACCAGGCACAAGTGGACTCCTTGGTGGAGGAGCGCTTGGTGGGGAAGGGGAACAAGACACATACAAAACAACAGCATGACAACTCACAGGAGCTTCCTCTGTTTGTTCTATGGCTGTATGGCCTTGAGTTCGGAATGCCAAACAACAAGCTACGATCAAGAGTACTTGTCCTTTTGCCATTTTCTTTTCATTTTGGACTTTTAGGCGCACTTCTTTCTTTTCCTTTCTTTCTTTAGGCCCCTTTGTGCACCTTGGTTGGTTCTGTGTAGGATACATATCGCGAACATGGTCTGGATCTTCGCGCGGTGCTTCGAGTTGACCTTACCCAATTCCTTCTGAACTCTTCGACATTGTGCCCAATCTCAGAGGGTTTGATTTCTTCCAAAACGATGGAACCGAATCGGGGGGAGCTTCCTTGAAGCGTGAGCTATCCTGCGTCCATATGTAGCTCAAGTAAGCTACTAGCTACCTTAATTAAGTAGGGAGGGGCGGGAGCGCGCTACAAAAGAACCGTCACAAAAAAGACAAACCATTAAACTGTTAATCCGCAGTGTTTGTAAACTGGTCGTCTGTCTTTTTTGGCCGCTCCCCTGCCTGAGGTGCATGCCTGCTATAGTGCCTTTGGATCGCGAAACTCAGAAGGGAACTCTTCTTGTGGTTTCCCCGGCGGAACTTGAAATTCACTAGGAGCAAGGACGCTACGTTCGGGGCAGGACTAGGAGCAAGGACGCTACTAGGGCTCCTCTTTCACTTTGTAAGCAGTTCATGAGAACACAGACAGCAACCAGAGAGCTCGAGTCGTAGTTCTTTTCCTGTGCCTTCGAAGTTGAATTGTCCTTCGCCAGATTGGTGGCCCTCTCTTTGAAAAGTGCTCCAGATTTCGCGGATACTCACAGGTGTTCGCCATTTACCTAGTCACACGGACAGGTACTATACCAGGTGGTCTTGGCCCACTGGGGAAAAGCCAAAAGTCTACATGAAGAATCTTCACAAAGCAGAGACTTGCATGGTGAAGGAGCTCTTGTTGGGGAACCCTGGAGATCGTCACACGGCACATCGCAGGGATTGAAATGACAGGAATCACGTGAAGTTCTTCAAAAAAACTATACATGACAGAGTGTTTTGGCTGTTACCACTTTAAATATTTGCCATTGTTGACCGTGCAAAGATTGATAGGAAGAGGAAGAAGAGGAGGACACCGGCGGCAGCAAAAGCTCAGCACCCAAAATGACGGTTTGGCGGTCCCACCAAAAGGGGCGAATGATTCGTGCAGCCGGCTGGGTTGGATGTGACCGAAGACGTACCGCCTGTCTCTCTCACTGAACTAGCAGCTAGGTGCAGAGAAAATCAAGCAAAGACATTCTGCGGAGCTGAGCGAGATGTCTGCAACTCTGAAGTCTTGGCCTTGGAATGTGTATATTTGCATTCTTTGTGGTATATACACTCCTATACATATATCATATATATATATATATACATATCCGACATATCCATGTTTCTTAAAGCTGTGAAGAGGTGCCTTGTCTTGCGATGCACGGACCAAGACGGCTTTCTAGAAGCGAGTTGCGCTTGTGCGGACTCATCATGTGGAGACATTCGTTGCACTGTCCGTTCTGAGACTTCGAGAGATCAGCCTGGATGAGATTCGGCGACTTAAATGCATGGACGTCGTGTGCTGTTCATGTCACATGCTCATTGTCTTTGATTGGATGAGCCGTACATGCAGAATCCAAGTCAGATGACGCCCAGGGTATCCGATCATGTTCATTGATGTTTGCTTCCCAGGTATCCGCACTGGGCCAAGTACATTGATGATCTCTGACAGCCATGAGCATCAGTGCGAAAAGAATGAGATTCTTTCTGGCAAAACGACTCTGTTGACTATAGTCACCATACCTCTGTACTACTTACAAGACTGCCTTCCAAGAGGTCTGGAGTCTGACAGTAACTTTTTGAGCTGGCTGAGTCAGCTAGTTGCAGTGTTGGACTGCAGAGTGTGCAGCGGAGTGGTACGAGTCAGTCAGTGCTCAGCTGGTCGATTCCTTTGAATGACATTTGCACCTCAGACATCTCAGCTTCACATTTTCAAGAACAAGCGACCTGTCTAACATGTGACATGTGTGGACACAGCGGCCTTATCACGGCACAGAACATCTTTTCAATTTCTGGACAATTTGTGGCTACTCAAACACATGGATTTTCTCCCAATCGCTACTATGCTCACCTTAGAAGCGACACTAAGAAGCCGGAGAACGACTTGTGAGACCATATTTTCAGAGACAATCGTGAGAAGACGACTTGAGACATAAAGGAGCTACGTTCGTAGCGTCCGATCGCTCCTACTACACCGCAGACAACTCGCAGATCGACAGCGCGAAGACTTCCCGATGTCTCCCATCACCCAATCCGCGGGCACTGGGATTGGCGTTGTGGGTTCGGAGCCTCAGAACCGCTCCGTCGCTCCGTGCGGGAGATCCACGGATCTGGTTCGGTCACATGTTCTGCAGGTGACTCAAGGTGACTCAGGTATGCGAGAGGTGATTGGACTTGAGTCTTGCTCGTTTTGGACTTCAAGTTTTCATCTTTCGAGGATTTTGTGGTGACTTTGAGGGGAAATTACGAGAGATCAGAGAAAGACGTGTGATTTCTGGTATATTTCGTGGCAAAAACCTTTGGACGTGTTGGTGCTTGTAGCCGCTTTCAATGTGTGGTGCTGTGCTGTCCGTACTTGGAGTTTGCACATTGTGCATGAACACTATACTACGTTACGCAATACTCGTGCGCAATACTGGTGCGTGAGACAAGCGGGCAAAACACATCCCCAAAACCGCAGAAGGCGAGTGGCGCACGAGGCGCATGAGGCGCATGTGCAAGTCAGGAAAACAAGTACATCGCATCGGCAAAATGGGCTCAAAAAGCGAGTTCGACGTTACTAGCAATGGCCTCCAACCCACTAGCGTTCTTGCTCCTACTACTTAAGGCCAGGGGCCCCTAGTAGCGTCCTTTGCTCCTAGTAGCGATGCCCTTTGCTCCTAGTAGCGTTCTTGCTCCTAGTCCCTAGCTGTATTGTTCTTGGTCTTGTTTTGTGTTTTTGTACGTGAAGTATTTTCAGTCCTCACTTGTCACAAGGAACCTCATGGGAAATCTACGTGGAACACCCCACACCCTTGTCACTTACATATCACAGGGTGCAACACCTCCCTCACCCAGGTCTGTGTGTGAATGTGTGTGGGCAATGACGGGCTTCGTCGATTCGGTTTCTCCCTCCGCAACAAAAGGCCAACTCGTGGAATGACAAGCAACCAACGCTTATTACTAGCCGCCATGGCCTCGCCTCCAACTAGAATATTTTTTCCTGATGTTTGTTCAACAGTGTTTCGGTGTGGTGATAATTTTGAGGAACTCCCTGTGAGGCGATGGGAAAGGCTGGTCAGGTGGGAGCACAAGACCTGATGGCGAGGCGGAGTGGGGAGTGAGCAAGAGTGACACTTTTTGTTAATCACTGGGATCAAGAGGAAGCAGAGAACTGGCACCAGCCTGTAGAGGCATACAGGGTTTTGGAAATAGATCAGCGATCTGACCGACATTTTCTCCTGCATTGGCCAGGCGAATCAGCCACAAAGCATCAAGGAAAAGCGACCAAAGGTCTTCTTAGAGGTGGATCCGTTCGATGTCATCAATAAAACATCCCGTCATCAATAAAGAAAGGTAGATAAGCTTGGGTTGAAGGTCGATATTCAATGAACAGTCTTGGTAAGATACTCCAGCCCCAAGACTTTCCAAAAAGTCGTTCTTGCAAAGGACAGACATTCCGATTTTCTATCAATAATTCGGTAGAAAGCCTCAGATTGAATGCGCGTTCTGCTCAGCCTTCGAGCTCTAGACCAAGAAGGCACAAATGCAGCCTGTGAGGTGGAGCTCCACAAGCGGCAGCTAGGCAAAGTGGTCCTCGAGCTCTTTGGCGACGTTGTCCCGAAGACGGTCGAGAACTTCCGCTGTCTTTGCACAGGAGACCGAGACGTCGAGTCTCTTTACTACTAGGAGCAAAGAAGCTAGTAGAAACAAGTGCATCGCTACTAGTAACAAGTGCCTTACTAGTAGTAACAA